ATTGAAAATTGTGGAATTTATAAAAATATGGGATTAAAATTAATTATTAATTTTCATTTAATTTAAAATTTAGTGTTTAATTCATATAAAACATGGTTGTTCCATAATAAACCTTAAATTAGCACATCAATTTTGACGCGGTTCTTCAAAGAGTTGACTCATGGGGAGATTATCAAAATACATTATTAGCCATCTGCTTTATGCTCAATTTTGTTTTATCAAATTGGGATTATTAATTTATTGAATATTAAATAATCGAGATTCTACTGCGTATACAAAATATTAATAGGTTATTTGTCATGCAGTTGAGCATACTCTAATTTAAGTGTTTGCAAATTACCCATCCGACCAACCTAAATTGTCAAATTAACCAGATTAGTAGGGTTGGATCGGTTTGGAGGAATGTCAGTTCCATTTTCGAGTTTGGTTAGACCAATCTAAAAAACTCCAGGGTTGGTGTTAAAATATTTGATTTTTCCTTGAGTCCGACAACTTGAATCGACTCCAGTTAATGTATTCCTCTTGTAGCTTGATTTCGAGTTGAGTTTTAGCGCAATCTAAACTGTGGATCAATTCAATTGTTGGATGAGGTTTAAACCCAACCATATCCGTCCGTACACTGGTCCATGTTCTACGTGTCTGTCACCATTCCAGAATTTCGTGTTCATGCATAAGCATTTTGTCTTCTTGTTTTTGAACTTATAAGGCCATGAACATATGCTTTAAATATTTTATTGAGAAAATATAAATTATCCTCGAATGGTGGCCGTACATCAAATATTTTAATTACCTTAATCCAGTTTATGAACTTAATGATACTTAGGCCCCATTTGATAGCACACATTTTCTATGGAAAATGGTTTTTGTAGTGTTTGATAGGCAAAATTTTTCAAGAAAAATATTTTCCAACTTTCCAAATTTCCATATTTTTGAGGAAAATAAATTCTTGATGTTTTGGTGGGAAAATATTTTCCATTTTTTTTTTACATTTGGAAAAAAATTTTAGATACTGGTAAAACAATTTCACTTTTATTGACAATTTCCATACAAAACAAAACCAAACGAATGGTATTCGGTAGTTATTTTTTTCAATTTTTTTTGACAATTGGAACAAATTCTAGACCCAATGGTAAAAAATATTATCACTTTAATGGACAATTTTCATAAAAAGAAGTCAAACAAACACCAAACTTTCAACATGTTCCATGTAAAATTCTATCAATCAAACACAATTAATTACAATTCTCAGTAAAACAATTTTTAGGCAAATCAATTCCCTGTAAACTGTTTTCTTTCCACCCATTTTCTACATTTGCAATCAAACGGACCCTTAGGCGTGTTTGATTGGCGAAATTTTCCAGGTAATTAGGAAAATATTTTTCGTTTTCCATCTTTTGCGCTGTTTGATTACCTAAATTTTCGCTGGAAAATATTTTCCCCCCACCCGCCACGTCAGCATTTTCTTTGTTTTCCTTGAAAATATTTTCCCAACATTTTGTTGGGAAAATATTTTCCAACCAACTGGGCAATTTTATTTATTTATTTTTTTTTTGGACAATAGAAACAAATATGATAATCAATTGTAAAAAAAAATCACTTTAATGGGCAATTTTCATGTAAAATAAAGTCAAACGAAAACTAAACTTTGATAAAAAAATGATTTTTTCGGAAACAATTTTTTTTTTTTAATGAAAACAAATTTTATAACCAATTGTGGAAAAAATTATTACTTTAATGGGGGGGGAGAAAATAGTCCAATCATCTGCGCCCACATCAATAAGAGTTCTCTCAAAATTTCCCATTACTGATGGCTTTTTCCATTTTTCATACACTTCCTGTTTTATTTCTACTTCACTGGTCCCATTTAGATCACGATCACATGCAGAGTG